AGAGACTGCTGGGCCACTTAGCCCAGGTGTGCCGTGGGCTGTCGTCTAGGTCTGTGCAGGTGCTCCCTGACGTCCCCATAATGATGCAATCGACTGACAATGCATTGCTCAGTATATCCCCATCGTTCAGTGACACTGGCCGTATGCACGGATTTTACAAGCATTTGCCATCCTTGTCGCCCTCCTTTGATTAGTAGATACACGAGCATTTGGGCACATGCATCTTCTGTCGTCCACCTCCTTGCTCCTGTGTCCCTAGGAGAGACTTCCGTGCTTGTGGAGTCCGGCGATGTGCTGGGCTCCTCCCCTGAGCTGGTACCTCACGGGGCTGCTTGTCTCTGTCTCTGCAGACACACGCTCGCTCGCTGTCCTGGGTTGGGGGTCAGGAGTGGAAGCCCTCAGCATCACTGCAGGACCTCCAGGACCTCCAGGACCTCCAGGTCAAGCCTCACGCTCCAACCCAGCTTTGTGGGGGCTCCTCGTGGGTGCAGGGGCGTGGCACAGCCAGTGACCCACGTCCTGCCATCCCTCAGGTCTGTCACCAGCTCAGGTCCCCACCCCCTGGGGGAGCCACTGGGCCCCAGGAGCCCAGCAGTCCTGGTTCTCTGATACAGCATCTCCTCCGTTTGGAAGCTCTTCTCGCATGGTCTCAACTGGCTCCTGGCCCTCTGGGAACATCTGAGACGCTCTTGGACCTGGCGTTGGGAACGTTCTCCACCGTCTGAGCCTGGGTTTTTCTTCTGTTTTGTCTTCTGTGCTGGGCGCTCGGGGAGTCTTTGCTGTGTAGAAATGCAGGAGGCTTGGTGCAGAGCCTGGAGCTCCCCGTCCTCTCCTGTCGGCCTCCTGGGTGTGGACGCCGGGCCTTCTCGCCTCCCTCTCCCACTCTCSTCTCTGTCTCTTGGGTTCTGCTCTCTCATTTCAGCCGCCGTGGTCTGAGTTTTCAAGGGCACTTTCTTCTTCCCTGAGAGCCCCTTTTTGTCCATCTCACAGCTCAGAGTTGCTTATCTTCTCTGTGTCCGAGGAAACGAGTGATGATTTTGTGCGACATTTCTTCCAGCTGCCTGTCTCTCATCTGCCTCTTCTGAGTGCCACTTCTCTGCACCTGCCATGGTTTCTAACCTGGTTACTGGCTGGCCCTTCACGTTGGAAAGAGTGGCGTTGAGAGGCTGGGATTCAGGGCAGTGTGCGGACAGGGCCTCGAGCACGTGTCCTGTGGACCCACGCCGTGATGCTCATCGAATATGACCTTGCCTTGTTAGTGGGTGACTTGACAGAAACACCTTCCCAGCTTTTCTTGCAGACCTGGGACTTTTTACAGTGGCTGTGGACTGTGGGCCTGAGTGGCGCTCTCCTGGGGACTTAGGGAAGCTGGCTTTCCTGTTCCAGGAGCAGGGATGCCAGGTGATGCTCCTCCCACTCTCTGCCTTTAGTGAAAACACAGGCTTCTGTCAGGAACAGCCACATCTGACCTTAAGGGAGAGGTCAGGACAGTCGAGATGCCGAGCCTCTGAGATGTTGATCCCACACCAGCATCTCTGGGAGAAAAATAAATCCCTGCATGTTCTAGTCACTCAATCTACATTTTTTTGTTTGTTTATTTTTAGCCAAAAAAAAATTCCAGTTGATGCACCCTCATAACTCTGGGGGAAAACTAACAAAGAGGAAATGTGCTATTCTTTTTCTGTTCTCAAAATTTCCCAAGTACGGAAGGACACATCTCAAAACTTGCTGCTATAGTCTTTCTTCGTAAGGCATTATTTCCCGTGGGGAAAGTGTGGATCCTGTTAGAAGGATCTAGACTTTGATCATCACTAAAAGGACCTCACATGAGAAGAACACCCAGGGAGCTTGTAAGGGACAGACGGGAGGTGGGGAGAATAAGACCAGGACTGAATATGGCCACTGCCTGTTTGTGTAAATAAAGTTTTATTAGGACACAGCTGTGCTCATTTGCTTTCATATTGTCTGAGGTTATGTCCTGGTCTTATTCACGGCTCAGTGGTACCATCAATTGTAACAGAACACCACCGTCTGGGTGATTTGTAAAGAATACGGGTTATTTAATTTGTTTCTGGAGGCTGGGAGGTCCGAGAACCTTGTGTCAGCACCCAGGTGTCACATGGGAGATAGGCATGCCAGCTCAGACTCTCCCTCTTCTTATAAAGCCTCTGATGCCATCGTGGGGGCCCTACCTCATGATCCCCAAGACCCACCTCTGAACACCCTCAGCATGTGGCTTTGAGGGTTAGGTTTCCAACACCTGCTCTTCTGGGGACACGACCATAGCAGCTGCTGTCACCCAGCTGCAGCAGAGGGGACCCCCAGGYGTTTCCACCTGGGCTTACACAGAAAGTGCTTGTTGGCTCAGTTGACTGGCAGGTGCCAGTGAGTAGGGAGGGAGGTGGCCACTCAGCCCAGCAGGCCTTGTCCACACCAGGAAGCTGCAGGTGGAAGTGTCGGCCAGGTGGTGGCTCAGAAGCACCCACTGAATGTCCTAGGGTGCTCGGGTCATGACACYAGCCTCACCCAGTGTCACACCATGCAAGGCACTTGTGGGAGTGCTGAGCCTGCACCTCCCYGTTCCGGTGCCTGTGCTGGAGGCCCAGGGCCCCGTGGGAGCCAGGTGGGGAGGCAGTGGCACAGCCACCTACCCCCTCCCTACTGCAGACCTGCAGCCTGAATCAGGCCCGTCACCTTGGATTCCTGCTGTGGTTTGGGTACCCGAGAAACTCTGAGCTGGAAGCTTGGTCCCCATCATAATGGTCTCGAAAGAGGGGAACCTAGCAGCAGATGGTGGGGTCTGGACCACCCTGGTGGAGGAATTGATGTGGGCCCACAGTGAGTTTGATCTCCCCGCAGTGGATTAGTGCCTGTGGAGTGAGTGGACTATGAACAAGCAAGCCTGGCCCTGCCGAGGCTCTTGCTTCCTGGCTTGAGCACATGCCTCTTCTGCCTGCAGCTGGCTCCCTTTCCTCCTCTCCATCCTGTTCCTGCAACAAGATTCTGGCACCTTGTGTTTGGACTTCTCAGCTCCCAGAATCGTGAGCCAAATAAACCTCTTTTCTTTGCATGTTATCCAGCCTCAGGTATTCAGTTAAAACAACACAAAATGAACTAAGAYGATGTCAAAAAGAAGTTTTGGTAGTAGTTAGGACTGGACTTGCAATGCCTAAAAAAATATATATTTTCACAAAGCTATTGTGACAATATAGTATTCGCCAAAGATTTCATTCAAGGGTGGAGAAGAGTGATTTACAGAGCATGTTCGAAGACAGTTATTTGGCAAGAGAGAGTTTTGTTGAAATGCCCTATCATGCATACCCATGGACAGAGATTTGGAAATGTGTAGCAGAAGTATGTATGCATTTGTCCTTTGAATTAGAAATCTACTTCTTTAAGTTTATACAAAAGTTAAAGCAGAAAGGATACTAAAAGCAGTTTGCAAGGTTTTTCCCCATTACTACAGGTAACAGAAGAGATGGGAACAGTCCACATGTTTAACAAGAGGGAACTGAGTGAGCTAACCAGTTCACTGACACCACGGAGCACCCCGGGAAGGAACGAGGACTCTCTATACACTCCAGGGGAAGAGAGAGGTGGAGGAAGAGGGYACTGTCCTGCCATTCATCCAGGAGCGTGCCCTATGGCACAAGTAGGAGCTTTGATCAAGGAAGGGGAATTCCTAGGACAGAAGTCCCCAAACTTGGGGTGGACATATCCCAGGGAGCACCCAATGAGCCACTGGGGTGCAGGAGGAACATATGTCTGCATYTGTTTTTACCCAAGATAATCAGGAACGAGGCTTTACTAAGTCSTAGTGGACACCCATGGCTTCCGGAGGCCCACCTGCTGGGAGCCAGGYCACCAGCGGCTGTATGCATGCACTCAGAAAACCTAGAGCTGACTTTCTGGGAACTGAGAGCATGTAACTCACCTTCAGAGATCTTATTTTAAAAAACAAACCAGATCGATGACATGCTGAAGGCTGGAATGGAAGCCAGGGACAGGCTACACCAAAGGCATCCAGGGGACAGCAGCTTGGCTCGCTGAGTGCAGAACAGAAGAGTCCCCTGGACCCCAGACCTGCTGTTACTGTGGTGACGAACTGCCAGCAGCGCCGCTCCTTGGTGGGCACTTGGTGGGCAGTGGTGAGAGCGCACAAGGGTGTTGAGCACAGCRAGGCCACCCTCTGCAAGTCCCGAGCGGATCTGTGAACGTCGCTGTGACTCCACTTATACCAACGGCAGTGTCTGTTTGCTGCCTTAAAAAACACCTTAAATTCTTAACATGGAAACATAACGTCTAACTATGTAAAAATCTTCCAAACAATTTCAGGTTATTTATTTATTTATTTATTTATTTATTTTTTAACCCACAAACTGGAGAAAAGTATTATCTTCTGATGAATTCTCTGGGGCTACCTTCTGGTGGGCGTTGGGGGGATGAGAGTTAGCAAGTCTTCATCTCCATCTCACAGGTGGGGAAACTGAGGCACCCCTGGGTTACATTGCTGAGGTGGCACAGTCCGTGGGAGCAGAGCCAGGATTTGGWAAGGTTGGCTGGACCTAGCTGTGACCTCTGGATAGCATGCTAAGCTGCCRGATTTCACAGTGTGGCCAGGGTCTCTCTTCTGGCCTCTGATTGGTTACACTGGGGCCAGAGAAAAGGTGATGTAGATCCTACTCCCCTGCTCTCCCCACTTTGGCAGCCTGCATGTCCCTTCATGACCCCAATCTCTGATGGAAGTCCCTCCAAGCTCCTGCCAGTTCTCTCCTGGCCCAGCGAGTCCAAGGCCATTTGTTCTGCCCTACCCCTCTGGAGGTGATGGGGATGGTCCCCACCACTGCCCCAGCCACACCTGTATGAATGGCCCCTTCCTGAAGGCCTCTTGAGTAACTTGGGAGCTCCTGTCTCTCTGGTGGGCACTGCTACGGGGAGGAGTCTGTCCAGGACTGTGGATCCTTAAGCCCAGGCCTCAGTTTGCCTCTGTTGSTTTGTAGACACTTCAAGCAGCGAGAAGTCAAAGAAACTGGAATCCACACTCTTCATYGCCTCTTTTCTCTCTGGGTTGGATGTCAGAGTGTGCGTGCCCCTGGGGTCTTGGAGTGATTGGAACCACGTGGGCTGCCAGGTCTCGGGCCTCATCCCTGCACCAGGTCAGCCCCCACCCCTCACCCCATCATGCTTGAATTTCCCAAGTTGAAGTCCTAACCCCCAGTGCCTCGGGAGTGACTGTTTGGACACAGTGGTGTCTTTACAGAGGTGACTAAGGCAAAATGAGGTCCTCAGGGGGTGGGCTCCACTCCAGTCTGTCTTGTGTTCGCATAAGAGGAAACTAGGRTGCACTGAGAGACACGGGGCTCATGCACACAGGGCACAGCCGTGTCGATAGGCAGCAAGAAGACGGCCTTCCGTGAGCCACAGGGAAAGGCCACCTGCCCCTGCCTTGGTGTTGGACTCTCAGCCCTAGAACTGGAAAGCATAGAACTTCTGTTGTTTAAGCCATCTGGTCTGTGCGGCTGGAGCTGACTCCCCTCACTCTCCCCTGCTGCTGTCCAGGTTCAGGGCTGCTGCATTCCCCCTGCAGCTGCCGTGGTCATCATATGTACATTCTCACACCGGGTCTGTCCATGCTGGGTGACTAGGTCCCTCAGACTTCTTATTACAACTTTTTGGCAGGAAGGACAAGACAGATGGGGTGCACACCCGGTCCCGTGCAGTGAYGTCCCACCTGGCTTTATTTTCTGGATTCATAAGAAAATGTGTCCTATGAATCTGGTTCTCCAACAACTGCACGTTAACATCRTAGGAATTCACTGAGCAACCCAGCTCTTGCCACCCCAGAGCCAATTTTAGGGGGAACAAGAGGGTTAAGTCAAAATTTGTTTTTCACAAATCAAGATACCTCCACTTAGGGCAAAAATCGTGATTCAGGTGAATCAGAAAATTATGACATTGCTTAAAGCCAGTTATCCCAGAGCTGTCCACGCTTCTGAACACTTAAAACAAAGAGGACTGGAGGGTTTGGTACAAAATCCAGCACTTAAAGGCTGGGGCTTTCTGCGGCGACTCTTACCTGCCTCTCCGCCTGGCGGGTCATTGATCTGCAAACCTGGCAGCCTCCTGGGGGAGAGAAGATTTAAGGTGTAGAGGCCAGCTCAAGCCTCCAATTCGCCCGGGAGCTGGGCGGTGGATGGAGAGCAAGGCAGGCTCACGGGAGCTGTCTGCCCTCTGCAAGACTCAGGACGCTGCCCGTATAAATCAGAGTTCAGTAAACTGYGGTGAAACGTTATTTCAAACTCTGCACTTAATGCCCTTTTCCAAAGATCTATTCTGCAGTGGAGGAGATAAAATTTGAGTTAATTCTGGCCATTTTAAACAGTAATCAATATTTTTCAAACTAGTAAACCCAGCATTTTTTAGGATCATTGACAATGATTAAAACTCAAATATAGTCGTTTTAAGACCCTGTTGAAKGCTGACCAGTGGAGGTGCTGGGTTGGTTGGGGCAGGGGGTGGGGAGCACTGAGAAGTCTCTACGTGCAAATCTCCTCTTTGTCTGAGGTCAGCTTTTAAATAATTTTTAATGTTTTAGGACATTTTAAAATGCGTGATGCGATTTTCACTATGAATTATTTCAAAGGTCTTCATGCYAAGTGACCAGCCAGGACGGTGACAGATTTTGTTGAGTGTGTCGTAGTGTGGATCACACTGAGTAGACGTGCACAGGAACCGTGCACTCGAGTGTCACTCAGGGATGAGTTCTGAGCAAGGCTTAKTTAGGCAATTCCATCACTGTGGGACCGTCCTGGAGTCCACCCATGCAGCTCAGATGGCATAGGTCAGTCGCTCCAGTGGCCCTTGGTACAATCCAGCAAGGCTGCAAACACGAGGTGGGTGTGGCTGCTGCCTGCACACTGTCTTATGGTGAACTTTTCTGTTACAAGTGGAAGAGTCATGCTCAATAATGATGGAAGTAGAGCCTATTAATAAGTAAACTGGTAACAGCTAATATATATCATTATCAATGGCACGAAATGTGCATGACCCTGTGCATGGCTTGTCCACACCAGCTCCAACAGCATGCGAGGCTTTGCACCCAGTGACTTGATGTCTTGGGATGGGACTTCTCAGCTCCATGAATTATCTTAGGGGACCCCTGTCACCTATGAGTCCCTCATTGCCTGAGGCCTACAGCGTGTGGCTGTAGGTAGATGCTTGGTGGGTGGGGTGTTGAAGGACACTGACTTCAAATAGGACCTTGAGACAGTGCTGAGGTGGCGGCAGGGTAGGAGTGTCACCATGCCCAACATGGGGAGCGCTCCAGGGTATTCAYGGCTTGCCCCTCCACCAGACGGGGTGCTGTGGACTCTGGGCAGGTCACTGTCCAGTAGGCTGCCAGGTGGGAGAGGGAACCACTGRGAGCAGTCAGGTGTTTGGCCAGGCATATCTGTTGAGGTATCTGTCCCCAGGAAGAGCATGGCCCTGTTTCAGGTAGGTCCTCATTATATACTGTTGACTTACAGTGAACAGGAAGGTGTCGTGAAAGAGGCTGTAACATGCTAGGGCATACATGAGTACGGCCCCGTGACCCAGGACTGAGGACAACTGTGGTCACCTGTCGGTGATAGTGACAGCAGAGTGGCCCTCCTGGGCTTGTCAGCCRTGCCCACACCTGCTGGTCATCAGTCACCCAGAACCTCGTTGAGGAACAGATTCTGGATTCCAGACTGCGCCCCCTGGGTTGGGGATTCCATGCTTTTCTACACGTTCCCTAAGTTCCTGGGTGATTCCAGTTATCAGCCAGGACAAGATGACGACCCCGATCTCCTGTCAAGTCTTTAATTATCATGTTCAGGATAAATCCTAGTCTAGTTGTTGATTCGTAAGGCAGTAGCTCTGTCTGCCCGTGACGACAGCATTCAACAGAGTCAGATGTGCCCTTGGCCTTCACCTGGCCTGCTCTGGACAGGGAGCWCACAGCAGTGAACAGTGACCAGGAGTCCTTGCCCGCGCAGAGCTTGCAGGTTAGAGWGGCATATCGTAAACATACAGTAGGGACGGGGACAGGGGCTGTGAGGAAACCGTCAGGCGGGGCAGAGTACAGGAGCAGGGAAGGGTGGCTAATTTGTGCAGAAGGCCAGAGACGGCCTCTGGAATGAGAAGCCCCGGGGCAGAGAGGAGGGTGGGAGATGAGTGGGAAGGGGCACCCACTGAGAAGGCCCTGAGCCAGATGTGCACTCACCTCCCGGACCCCAAGGAGAGGGAAGTCCTGTAGGTAGATCCTGGGCGAGAAGGTCTGGGAAAGGGGAGTGGGTTTCCTGTTGGGAGGAGTCTCATGGTTGAGGGGTAGGCTGTGGTTTTGGAAATGCCTTCCCTAACACTCAGACCAGCTGTCCAGGAGCAGCTGGGYATTCACACGAGAGGCCCCAGACAGACACCAGCTTGAGAGCCCATGTGCGGAGGTGGCATTAGAGCCAGGACAGCAGGTGCACGCCGTGTGCACAAGCCTAGGTGGAGAGGAGGGGAGGCCGGGGGTGGGCCTGGGCTCCTGCACCCTAGAGGAGGTGGGGAGGAGGGTCCCGGGAAGGCGCAGCCAGGAGGCTGGAGCAGAGCCAGGATGTGTGGGTTCCTGGGAGCTGAGGGAAGCCAGGGAAGCGGGTCATGAACCAACCRTGATGACCAGGGAGAGGGGGCCTGGCAGTAAGCTTTGGCACGTGAGGGAGAGAAGAGCCATTTTTGTGGGGTGGTGGACAGAGGATTTGGTAGCTGGGAGCCCTGTGGGCTGTTTCCAGGGGTTTTTCTACAGTGGAAGACAAGTGTGGGTGGAGTTTGCCCTGATCCCTTCCTAAGGGGATATAACATGCTCTTTGCAAGTGGGTGGGCACGATCCTGGCAGAGGAGGGACCATAGCCGCTGCAGAGAAGGCGGAATTGGGGGTCTGCTGTGCTAGTGGGCAAGGGTGCCCAGGCCCAAGGAGAGGGGCAGGACCTGTGGTACCACTGCCCGTCAGACACATGACACTTGGCACACAGGGTTCTCACCTGTGTTTGGGGGTCTGTGGAGATTTCTGGGTTTCTTCTGTTTCTAGAATGTTCTGGAAGATCTCCATGTGACTGTTTTTTACTGTGGTTAGGAAAACATCTGGTTGCACTGGCTGAGACACAGAAGAGGGCTATTTCTTTCATTCTCTCCAAGGTCTGCGTCCTTTCAAAGTATCCGACATTGTAAAAATGCAAAAGTGCGCAGAGACTTAATGTTTTTCCTGAAAAGAATTTACTGGGAAGGCCTTTAACAGATCTTCCTGGCAGAGAGTGGTGTCTTTGATTGCCATGTGCCCATTAAAATACTTTTTTTTTTTTCTCGTGGATTTAACAAGAAAAAAACATCAAAGCGTCTTAGGAACTGCTTAGAAATAGCCTGCTTCTTAAGTGGCTGGTCTGGAATTAGAGAAGAGGACAGACAGCAGCCTTTCTGTGTGACACGTTCCGGGTGGGGCTGAGCAGAGGGGTGAGGAGCGTGTCCGATGGGAGATGACGATTCAGATCTTAAGGTTTCACTGAAAGGCGGGTCCCGGCATCCGCGTGGGGGTGAACGCTGGTGGCCCTGGGTTACAGCCATGGCCATTAGCACTCTGTGTAATCCCCGTGATGCTAAGAGGTGCCCCTGCCTCTGTGACCCTGAGAGCTTACATCCATCTCCTGTTTTCAGCGCCCTTAATCATAGTCAGTAGTTGAGAATGTATTTTCATAGATAAAATCAACTCCCAGGGCTCTCCTGCAAGGCCATTCAGCAGGCCATTTTTAAATACAGCGAGGTCATTATCCACTCATCTTTGTGCATAATTCAGAATAATGGATGGTTGATTGGCAGCCCACCTCTCCATTTACCCCCTGCCACTTTTGTGTTTTACCTTGTATTCAGATTGGTGATGGTGCCTGGAGAAACCTTCATGAACACAGATTGTTAACTGTTTCACGGGGGTTGAGTGGCCGAGGAGAGAGCTTAGAAGTTCAACTCCCCAGTCGTGGATAGACTGTGTGTGAACTGTGCTTCGTCCCCCACTGTCCCCCAGTCAGAGCAACAGGGATGGGCACCTGTCATGAAAAGGGAGGCATGGAAGCCAGGAAGAAGCACATTCCCTTCATCCCTGTGA